TTTGATTCCTGGCTGGGCCAGATAGGACGAAACCTTAGGCAAATTTTCTTACTCCACACACACACACACACACAACTCTGTTCAGCGCCTTGGGACATCCTCCCGATGTTAAAGGCGCTATACAAATGTAATTTTGTTGTTGTTATTGTAGGTACTGTATTGTAAGTAAACAAAGAAGCAACAAAACAACATATCTCAAAGCTAAAAATTATTTCTCCCACTGAATGTGGGTTAATCCAACTAGGAGATATCTTTGCAGATGTTATCACATGCTCATTGATTAAACTGGCAGGAGATACACTTGAAAAGTGGAATGAATCCCTGCTTTCCCCCCAGCCAGTTTTCTGTCTAACTCCGATTATCTAGCCAAGATTAGTAAAATCTCCAATATAGGAAATCCAAGTAGAAACATCAGCAACAACAACAAAATTACATTTGTAAAGCACCTTTCACTTCAAGAGGAAGTCCCAAGTCGCTGAACAGTCAAGGCCCGAACATGGGGGGTAGGGTTGGGCTGAGAGAGGGTAGAGAGGGTAGGAAGGCAGCTGAAGGCACGGTCAAAAAGGAGGGTCTTGGGTTGTGCCTTGAAAGAGGCAAGAGAGGGAGCAAGGCAAAGGGATTGTGGGATGGAGTTCCAAAGAGTGGGGGCAGAGATGGTGAAAGCTTGACCGTTGATGGGAGGGTGGATCGGGAGACCTGGAGCAGGTTGGAGCCTGCTGAGCGGAGGGAGCGGACAGGTTGGTAGAGGGTCAGCAAGTCAGAGATGTAGGAGGGGGCGAGGCCGTGGAGCTGGGCAAGGGTGGGGGTGATGAGGTCAGGGAGCCCGGTGCGGTAGAGGACACGAGCTGCAGCATTCGGGATGATCTGCAGCTTATGGAGGGAAGAGTTGGGGAGGCCAACAAGTTTCCATAGTCGAGCCTTGAAGTGACGAATGCACGTATGAGGGTTTCAGCGGCCTGAGGGCTGAGGCAGTGGCGGAGTTGGGCAATGTTGCAGAGGTGGGGGAAGGCCGAGCGGGTCACGGCACAGATATGGGGAAGAAAGCACAGTTGAGGGTCAAACAAGATGCCCAGGTTCCTGACTGACTTGGTGAGATGGAGTGTACAAACGTGGATGCTGTTGCTGCCAGTGCCCGAGGTGCGGAGGCGCTGGCGTGAGGCAATCAGGAGGGCCTCGGTCTTAATGACATTTAGTTGTAGGAAGTTGGCTCTTATTCAGGACTTGATGTCTGACAGACAGTCTATCAGGACATCAGTTGTCCTAGAATCGAGGGTGGAGGCAGAGAGATAGCGTCATCCGTGTACATGTGGAAGTTGACCCCATGTCTGCGGATTTTGTCACCAAGTGGGAGCATGTAGAGGCTGAAGAGGAGGGGACCGAGGTCAGAGCCCTGAGTAACACCGCACAAGAGTGTGAGCAGCACAGAAACCCGATTGGAGGGGCTCATGAAGGGAGCGGTAGGGGTAAATCTATCAGTTGAGATAGATTGACATTCCTTGTCAACAATCCATGCATTTAATATAGCTCCTGATCACATTGTTGAGGCAGCTCAAAGTGCTTCACAGGATATATTGTAAAGTGGATGGACCGTGTATTTTGTGGGCAAAACGCGGCAGCCAATTGCGTGCAGCAATGTCCCATAAAGAGTCGTGGATTGAGTGACAAATTTATTATTACATTTTTTTTAAGGGATATATACCCCCGGAAAAGTAATCCACCAATTGATGTGTTCCTAGATATTGCTAGGTAAACAGAGGCATGTGGAGTAAGGAAACCTGCCCCGGGGGTTTCAGCCTGTCCAGGAACTGGGTCCTCGCCCTTGCTAGGCGAACGCACTAACCACTACGCTGCAGGACTTGTCAAGTATACAGTGATTCCCAAATCATCAGGTTTTTTAAAATGAAAGGGATTATGAGATATGTATATGACTATAATATCAAACAGTGTGGCACTTCAAATTCAGGTTTTCTGCCAGAATTTGAAGAGTAATAAAAAATAAAATGACTCAGTCATCAGCACAAATTAGCTGTCATATGAAGCTCTTTCAGGAACCCTTCTGATATGAACAGAGCTATATCGAATGCATAGATTATTATTGTTGTTATTCAGCCCATGGAGTCTGCACCACCAGTTCATTATATAGACCTTTTAAGCTTTTTGCCATACCTCTTAATACCATGTACCTTAATATCTCTTTTAAATATTGTGTTCCTATTGATTCTGCCTCTACAATGTTCTGGGGGAGAGCATTTTTCACAACCCTCTGTGTAAACAAATGTTTCCTGACAGCAATTCTTACTGTCTTTTTTTATTTTAAGGCTATGGGCCCTTGTGAGTAAGATATCCTTCCAATAACTGGGTGCCCCAAACTGACACAGTCTGAAGTCTGACCAACACACTCGATACAGTATAACTGAGGAAGCATTTCTTTTCTTTTATGTTCCAATGTTGGATTTGATCCATTTGTAATTCTTAACTGGCCTCTGAGCATTGAGACTTTTCAGGCCACATATTTGAAAAAAAATAGTGCTCCTGTAAAGTGTATTGTTTGAAATCTCTGAGTTAGACTTTAAACTGTGAAGGTTTCCCTTTCACAATAAGACTACTCATGTTTTGTTCAAAATCAGCATCCGACTCCTAAATAGAGCCTTAAGAAAATATAATGTATAAGGGTCAAGATTAGACTTAAAAGTCTACGGTAAATAAAGTGAATCCTGACGTAGGTATTCACCACTTTGCTTGTCACTGTTTCCAATGCTGGAATAGCCAATATCCATTTATATGCAAATTTGACCATCCTATTTTTCCCAGACCCAAATCTACTGTACATTATACACTTCACTGTAATTTCCTGTGGTTTCAGCTGTAATTCAAGAAGAAACAGAACCTCTGAAGAAACAGCTTTGGAATTTTCTTAGAAGCTGCTTAAAAGATGAGAAGACTTTCTTCCCACGTTTCAATTTTCTTATTTTCTCTCCTCCTTATTTTTATTTGTGCTGGGGCACCGTTCCCAGAATCACTTGTAATCCTTTTCATTGGTTGTTAATTATATGATTAAGGGCACGTGTAATTCCTTCTGTATACATGTGCATGCACATGGTTAACCTAACCCACAAATATTCCACGTGGGCTGTCAACACAACATACCAGTTAGACACCAATAGTAGCTTCCCATACCTTCCCACATTAGCTGATATCAGCCAACTCAGCACACAAATGGGAAAGACCATGGACTGAATGTAACATTGTCCTGGTCCATACACCTCAATGAGGCAATAGTCACAGAATTTACCCATGTTACAATGTAATATGTACGTAGGAATCTTAAGTTAAGAATGTTCCAAAATTCCAAACAATCTTACATTTTAAGGCAATGGTTTTAAGGGTAAGGCTCAGAAGAATTTCAGGCATCTGGAATGCATTTCTTTATGAATAGTATGTCATGCCATTTTGTAATGCTGTATATACACTGTTCTGCACATGATTGATTATATTTGTAATAGATATAATGTAAAGCACCAAAACCAAAGTTGCAAACGTGCCATTGGTGTTGCTAGACGTTTAGAGTTTCAGATGTAATCTGATTTCTAACTGGGAGTTTTGACTATCTATAATTCACCAGAAGTGTATGTGTTTATATGTATATATCAGATGTCTTCTGATGTAACAGATAGTCATGCCAAATGTCCACATTTGTCAAATGTAATTGGGTTCAATCTCTATCTGATACTTGTACCGATATGTCTTCCTGCTGGCACTCAGCTGTGCATACTGGCCGATGTTATAAGAACAAAACATACAACAACAACTTGGATTTATATAGCGCCCTCCATGCCGAACAGCGTCTCAGAGCGCTTTACACTAACGGATCCCGGGGCCGAGCCGGGGGGAGGGGAAGGAAGGTGACCAAAGGCGCGGTCGAAAAGAAAGGTCTTCAGCAGAGACCTGAAAATGGGAAGGGAGGGAGCGAGGCGAAGGGAGTGACGAAGGGAGTTCCAGAGCCTTGGGACATAGTGGCTGAAGGCACGGCCGCTGAGGTGGAGCAGAGGACTCGGGGGACGAGGAGGAGGCCAGACCTGGAGGAACAAAGGCAACGGGTACTGTTGTGAGGAGAGAGGAGGTCAGAGAAGTAGGGGGTGCAGAGGAGTGCAGGGACTTGAATACAAAGGTGAAGATCTTGAAATCGATCTTCTCTGGGATAGGCAGCCAGTGCAGTCTGGTAAGGACTCGGGTAATCGGGGAACGAGTTTCGTACAGGTGAGAATGCGGACGGCAGAGTTTTGAATGATTTGGATTTTATGGATGGTAGTGGATGGGAGACCGGCGAGGAGGGCGTTAGAGTAGTCCAGCTAAGAGGTGACATTTAATGTCTCATCGAAGGACAGCACCTCCATCAATGAAGCCCTCCCCCAACCCTCACCTTAGACAATGTGATTCCAAGTCCTGATGTGGGTCTTGAACCCACAAATCTTCTAACTCAGATGAGAGTGCTACCACTGAGCCAGGCTGATATCAGTTGTCGCCATGTGCCCTGATTTTAGTACCCTAAAAATCCGGTTCTTAACCAAATGTTTCCATTTGCATTTAAAAGGAAGTTACATTAATTGACACAGCATGAAGATGCCATTTTTCATATCTCTTCAGCCAAGACACCAGGATAGATCTCATCTTGTCAGATCAGAACAGACATGGTTTAGAAAGTCTACAAAGGTGTCAAAAATAACATTAAGAGATTATCAGTGATGAACGTGGACCATCACTTTAAACAATGTCAAAGGTGAGCTGCTTCTAGATTAAGGTCCTATGCAACAGCAAGCTTTTGCTAACTAAAAAAAGCTTGTTCATTCTTAATGTAATTCATGAGAGGGGATAATGAAATACATCACTGTGTCCTGTTAACAAGTGCCCTATCTGTTCTGTTCTTCATCAAAGGACTGATTATTATTTCTCTTTAAAATTTCAGAAGACTTTGAAGTGAAGTGTATGCAGAGCAAACGAAGAAAGAAAAGTTAATAAACGGCATGGGTCTTGGTGGGGAATTTCCGTAGATCACAGTAGAACCCCAGGTAACCACCAATTTCAATTATCCATCAGATTCAATTGCCCTTTACTCTGTGTTGAGACAAATTCTACAACTTCAAACTGAACTCCACCACAAAAGGTTATTTTAAATTTAAAATAACAAAACTAGAAAGTACACCTAGTGTAAGTAGAAAACTGCATAGAAAGATGATATTAGTTTAATTAATGAAAGAGATATGAAAAATACAGCAGTATTATGAAAAAGCCATTGTTAATACAGTATTTATTTTGGCATTGGATGAAAAATAACCCCCAATAGATGACCTTCGGTTTATGTTCAGAAAAGATCAACTATGTTCAGAATCTTTAATAAGTGTATAATAATATTAACAATCCTTGCATTTTATCCATAGGAAATCTCAAAGTGCTTCATAGGATTTACTGTTAAGTGTCGTGACTCTGTATTTTGTAGGCAAACAATTTGCACACATCAATGGCCTACAAATAGTTGTGAAATGAATGACCAGTTTTAGTTGGGGGATTGTTGACCAGGACACCAGGAGAAAACCCCTCCTTTTTTTGAATACTGTCATGGGATCTTTAACGTCCATCTGGACAGGTAGATGGAAGCTCGGGTTAACATCTCATCTAAAGGATAGCACCCCCATCAGTGGAGAGCAGTATCAGCTTTGACTATGTGAGTTCAAGGTTCTGATGTGGGACTTGAACCACAACCTCTGACCTTCTGACTCAGGGGTGAGTGAGAGTCCTACCAACTGGGCCTGGCTGACAACCTCTTTCCACTAAAGCCAGAACCAATTAACCTTTCAGGAGCATGTAGAAGAGTATCATCAGGTCAAATCATTACAATACACCCCACAGTCTGTTGAGAAATGAATAGATGTGGTACAAGCAAAACATTCAGAGAGACAATGAATGAGACATTATATCAATAAAGCAGCCTTTATCAATTGAGAATCATAATTCATTCTTCCTTATTAAGAATTACCGATTTCAAATTAAGGTAAGAGATTGAACAATATTTTAATTCCTTTCATGGACATAAGACTGTGGAATGACAATGCATTGCTCTGTTGCATCTGCTGTGGTGTTGCATACTGTGGTTCATCATGTGGATTAGATGTGTGCAATAGATCATTATCCCCACCATGATCTATGGCTAGGCCAGTGCACAGATGAAATGACAGGTTCTATTCATTGCTAATATTTCTCCTTCTTCATTTTCCATCATAGCTCACCCATGGCCATCTGGAGAAGGAGCAACAGCCAGCATCAACAGTGCTGCAGAAGAGTTACCATAAGGTACTGTCATTTGTGGCACTTCAGATGATTTGTGGAGTATTTTTCTCTTGAGATTAGGCTACCCATGGCATAATGAAGCATGCCAGAATCCAGATTTCTACTGAATATTATTGAAAGTGAGATGGTGCCCAGCATCAACTTATTCCCCTCTGTTACAGCAGGCTTTTGTAGGCTTTCTACACCCTTTTCTACCATATGCACAGTCTTCATTACACCTAGATAGCTGCAACCCCCTCCAACTAGGTCAATCTGTGTATACCTGCAAATCTTGGATTCTTTGCTGACTCCTAGAGAAAGAGCCTCTGAATGCTTCAGACACTTAAATGTTGCTTCACCACACCAATCGTGTGCTCAGTCAGGCTCCTGTTTATTAGTGCACCTCCCTGCACTTCCTTTCTGGTGCGGATTTCTGTTAGAGGCCAGTAGGCAATGACACAGCCACACCCTAATCACCCAGATGTCATCCTTGGAGGCTCACGTCCTTCCTGAGGGTGGCAGCACAAGGAAGCATGGTTCAGCACAATGAACCATGTATTGAGCCAGGCTACTGTTAACTGAAATATGTGTTCATTTGATCAATGTATTACACACCAGTTGAACATTGATAAAATGTAAAAATTTCCAATTAAAATATGCTGGTTGGTTCACTGTTGGATGCTTCAATGCCCTGTGTGCTCAATCAACAACAAATTCAACAACAACAACTTGCATTTATATAGCCCCCTTCACACGGATAGCGTTAATTCCAAACACATTTGAAAAATCCACAAAGACATTGAACTCTTGTTGTCTATGTATCTCCATGTTTTGCTCTCTGTTAACATGGATTATAAACAACAACAACAACATTACATTTGTATAGAATTACCCCCTTCCCCTGGCTTCTGACACCTGGTGGATTGATGTCAATATGGATTATTGGTTGATGCCCCCAGACAAAGCCTGGAGTCTGTTGCAAGTACATTCAGGACCTCAGCAACCTTGGCCACTGAGAATATTCATGTCCTCTTACGGTATATGGCCCAGTTTTGTCACCAGCTCATGAGAAAACATCAGGCTCTAGTGAGACTGAATCCTCTGTAGGATTCAGACCGGGCAGTCTAGGCTTGTAAACCCTTGTACACAGATGCACATAATTTGTATTCCAATATATCTCCTGTGGCTATAAATGCATAAAATTAACCAAGTAAGATTTCTCCCCCTCCCCCACACTGTGGTTTGTAGTCAATCACAAGACAGACAGCATGTTGCCAAAATTGTCTTGCTTTCATTTTACTGTTTCATAACAGTGCATCACATTGCCATAGGCCCAGGACTTCTCCTAAAATAGTAAATAATAAGCTACTTTGGGGTTTCTTATACCTCATTCTCACAGAAAGGAAACAGAGCAGAATCAGACACTGTGATCTTATTGTAAGTGCAGCACAGTAAGGCAGGAAGAGAACTCTGTTGACATTAGCGTACAAGCTTATCAAACAGCAATGTGCCTTGCCACCTCACTGTGGTAATGTCACGTTCTTTGCCTCTATGAATGATTTGCATATAGCACTGCTTCTACCTGCAGAATAGACAGACATTCTGTCAAGTGCTGCATAGCAAAAGAGTCTGAATCTGAAAAGAATCTGCACACAGAAAACACTTGCTCTTCATGCATCCATACAAAGCACATGGAGTTCATTCAACACTGTCTCTGGCTGTGTACATACAATTCAGTCCCAAAATATTGCTGAAGGTCTGAAAAGTACTTCTATTAGTTACCTAATTATGCCACTTAATCACCATTATTTTGGAAAGGTGCTTCACCTCCACTCAACATCTCAGCTAGTGAAGATTAAAATTTCATAGTGTGCAAGAAATTGATAACATTATCATTTTTGCTTTTATACCTTGTGAACTGCTTTTACTTTATAGACTATTAGATCCCTCTTAACTAATGTGTATATATTTCATGTAAAAGAAGATAGACCGGTATACACTGGCGGAATGTGCCTTTTCAGGTACAGACTAAAATACTGTACACTGCAGCCTATTAAATTAACACTCAAACCCTACAGACCCTCAGTGATTAGTTAGTGCTGACTAGATTTGTTTGCAGCTTCACATCATTTTTAGCCTTGGGAACAAGCAGTGAAAGATTCAGCCTTTTTAGTTTGTGCCTTTTATTTTGTACTGGCTTGTATGTAGTGTAAATCCATAACATATTCACTATTTGATAATTGTGTAAGGATAGGCTTTTATTTGTGTACAAAATATTGGTGCAAATTTAGTTTTTTCTTCTCCATTAGTTACAATCTGCACAACTTTTCTCAGGTGAAAGATAGTATCCAGGCCCCCTCACTGCCTCTGGCAGTTGCACTAAAGTGACCTTCTCCCTGTTAAAAACCTGTGATACTCACTGTTTAGGCTCAGCTATGAAGAGTGTCAATTTGGCCAAGTTACCGGAGGGTGACTAATGTAAAAGGTAACAAAAGATCATGAAGAGGAAACTAATCAAATTGCAGAAAGACCACTAAAACCAACATCAATGAACAAAGACAAGGTTTCAAGGAAAATTCCCATGCAGATAGATATAAATTAAATAACCAACATTTATTTAAGAATAATAAATATTTAACAAAGCTGATTAACCTACATTTGCTTGGAAGTGAAACTGCAACTGGGCAGACAGGTTAGAGCAAAGGGGAAAAGATTAGAGCAGAAAAAGGAAAACTTTAAAGGATTATTTTCTGGTGCTTGTAAATGTTGCTGCTCAGGTTTCATTAATAGTGCTACATATAAAACATTCTGAATGGTCACTGGTAAATAAAAATCCACAATATAAACAGCTGAGAAAGACCAAAAAAATCTGACAAAAGAGTCAGAAGCAAAACTCCGGCCGCAAAATGGTCTTTGACAATGTTTGAGATCGTGAATTTCTTCTACTTTGGGGGATTTTTGGTAGAAAATTCTGCTATTTCAGTCCTAAATCAAATTGTTAATGCACTAACTTCCAATTTGCAAATTCTTTACTACATTTCAGCTCCACTGTGTGAAATTCTTTGGCATTTTTTGATGTAACAAGATGCTATATGAAATGTAGTATTTTGCCTTGAAAAAAACAATTGAAACAGAAATACAGCAAAATAAGCACTCGTTCATTCAATACCAACGAAACTCATAACATTAAAAATAAATATGAAAGCTTATAGACACTCCAGAGAGGCCTAGAATCCTACTGAGTGACCAAGTAAGGTTGGGTGATCATTTCTTGAGATCGCAGAATGATAAGCCCTAGGGCAGGAGGCACAGTACAATATTGTCCAAGAACTGATACCTGAGAATGTACATTTGAGAGCAGCTGTATTTGCATTAATCTGTCCATCAGCATGAAATTGATACAATAGCATTGCAAATCTACAACGAGGAATGATACTGACCGACAATTTACTGTTTCCTTCCATTCATTGTACAGCCAGAGAAGTACTTCACAATTTTTCATGAGGGACAGACTGCATTTAGCCAGCAGTTGTACAGTGCAAGACATTAACAAGGAGGGACACAGACTTGTCCCAAACATTTAGGATGCAAGAATTCAATCGGATACACTTCCTCCTTAATATGATTAGATATGTTTATACTTCCACCACTCCCAAGAGCCATCTCCCATAGTATATTCTGTGAAGTGCTTTGAAACGTCACAACGATGTGATATGGCACTATATAAAATGCAAGGATTATTATTATTTAGACCCAATAGACTACAATTAATCTGAACGTCACAATATAAGGTCCCCAGAAGTTTTTTTAAAATGGTATTCTTCCAGAGATCTGACCATTGGAAAATTACATGAAGAATCCTTTCTCTGGTTGGATTAAGTAAACCGCTTGCCATTGAGAGCACTATCTGATAAGATGCTTCTTCAGGTGGGACTACCCTACTAATTGGAGCTTTGGGTTCCAGGGTTAACAGGAACCAAATGGAAAGAATAACTGTCCCCTCAGCTCTCATTCCACCCTCACATCTATCTGATCCTTGACCTAGACTGCTTGTTTGCAGCATCACTACATTGCTTGCCTTCATCCCTAGCTTATCCTCAATGCTGCTGAAACCTTCAACCACATCTTTGTCATCTCTAAACTTGACTTTTCAAATGCTCTTCTCACCCCAACGCCACCATCTGCGAGCTTCCCCTCCTGGAGCTCTTTGCTGTACTCTTATCCAATGCCCTTTCTTTCCCTGTATCTTATAATTATTTTCCCTCAAGTATTTATCTAATTCCCTAATAGGGTCCAAGATTCATATCCACAGCCAGTTAGTAATTATCAATCGGTTTGAACACAATTTTTAAGTGTCACCTACAAATACACAGTCACTGTACTCTGGAAAGGTCTGTGAGGCACTTTGATACGTTTAAGCATAATAAGGAACCCTGTTAGTTGATTGGCAGATCTGCCATGTTTCGCTCACAAAACACACAGTCAATCCACATTACAATATTTTCTGTGAAGCATTTTGAGGCGTCTCAACGACGTGATAAGGCACTACATCAAATGCAAGGATTATTATCATTATTAATAAAGTGCCATATGAAATGCAAGAATTGTTATTAGTACTTTTCACCCCCAATATCGGATTTGACAAATTCTGATTTCAAACATTGTATATAACCTGAGGCTCAGTAAATATACACAAGGAGGCTGGAACAAACCAAAGAAACCCTAACAGTTAACCTCTCATCAACAAGTCACATCAACTTTACAATAAAAATAGACACAATTTGTGCTGGTTGTCAACATTAATTCAGAGGAACAAATATCAACTTACAAATGATCAGTCAAAAATCTGTTTCTCATTGGTAGCATTAACCCTATTCTGGTCCTCCTGGCCAGGAATAGTATGGTGCAGCTGAACATTGTTGTCAGCTGTAAAGCAACACTATCTTGCAATGTTAAGTGCTCAGCACCTGAACCAGGAAGACAGATAACAGCTTATTTCCATCATCCATATAACGGGCACCAGG